TAGAGTATTATCCCCCAAACGGTTTGAAGGTTATAGATCCCTTGTTGCGCATTCACTTGCCTCCATGGCTAAGTGGCTTAACCCCGATGATGTCGTGGATACCTGCGAATGGGGTGACTTTGACATAATCAAAGATCAAGGACCTAACCACAAGACAACTATGATGCCTCAGGTCAAAGGACTACTTTTCATTATCCCAACCATGAGTTCTCATGTGACATGAGTATGAGAACTCTTCGTTGATCGTGTTCAGTGAACTCATTCTCTATTGAGCACCTACGTACTTGTCTTGATGTCACACACACCAATGACTCGAGACTAGTCACTCTCCCTGAGAGAAGACACATCACTTACTGATCTTAACGGACTGTCAATGCCCAATTGGCAATCCTATGATCAGGAACGTTTAGGATGTGTCTACGAAAGAATGGTCTCATGAATCTAACTTCTTTAGATCGCATTCTCCCAATCACATATTCCTTGGACTTATCGTTTAAGCGTATAACATTTATATGAGACGGCTCAAACAATAATCTTTGCCCTTGATATTAAACTAGATTAGTTTAACATGTGAAATGTCCGTAAAGTATCATCATATGATTGGTTTTAGGGCACATTTCGAACAAGTGCCTAGACCCTTCAAAAGACAACACAGGGGCAGGTCCCCATACATCACTATGAATTACCTCTAATGGATTTACAGACTAATTTGCAGGAAAAGAGAAAGACAGTTTTGTAAATTTGCCTTCCAAACATGGTGTGCAAATAGTTTGACAAGAATCTGTGTATGCAGAAGCCTTAGTGTGCTGCAACATTGCAGAAGTGATTACATTTGATGGATGCCCTAATCGTTGATGCCATAAGCTTGTGTGAACTGGTTTGGCTAGATAGCATGTATGTATTTTGGAAGATGCAGGTAATGTCTTCTATGAAGAATAAAACAGGATAGGATAATATCCAGCTTTACATAATCCCTTGAGGAGTATTTTCCCTGTGATTTTGTCTTGAACCCAAAAGGAAATATCATCACATAGGAATCTACATTTGTTATCCTTGCAAAGTTGATATATGGATAATAGATGTTGTGATAGTTTAGGAACATGCAATACATTTTTCAATGTAAAAGTATGACAATGAGCTTGCAGTTTAGATGTACTAATACTGGAAATTGTCAAACATGCACCACTTGCAATGGTTATTGTATCAGTGCCTTGATATGTAGTAGCCAAGCCTAGATTTGCAAGCTCTAAGGTCATGTGAGATGTAGCACCAGTATCCGCAACCTAGAACTGTTCAGGTGGTGCAGAAAGATTGACTAAGGGTGGTCTCCCTTGATATGCAAAGTTGTTTTTGTGATAACATTGAGTGGCTGAGTGCCTATAATTCCAACAGATTTGACACTAATTGCTGCACCATGTCTAGTAGTTGGTAAATTGTGCCTTTGAAAACAATCTGCAGCATCATGCCCCTTTTTGTTGCAGATTTGACAAGTAGGAATCTCATTTGGATGATCAGAGCAAGTATGTTGAAATATTTTTGGAGCTCCAAGAATTCCAAGACCAGAATTGTATGCTAAAGAGTGAAATCTTGGACCATTATTGGATTGAAATCTGCCTCTTCCTTTTCCTCTATAGTTTGACCCTTTGTATCCACCAAAAGAAAATGAATTGCCATTGAAATTTCCAGAGCCATATTGTGAGGATGACCCTTGTCCAGAGTTGTATTCATTAGAATGAGACCCTCTATTGAGATTGTACTCCTGGCTTGAGGATCCTATGTCAAAGCCCTAAGACTGAGATGGATTGTGATCAAGACTAAGAGCTTTTCCTTTTTCTGATTCAGTGCTTGCAACCATTGCAAATCCAAAAGGCACAGAGGACTCCCAAGACTATCCAATTATGGCTTCTTCAACAAGAAGTTGTGATCGAAATTCTTTCAAAGAGATCCTAGTTTCTCTTCCTTGAATAACACATCGAAATGTATTGTAATCCGCAGATAACCCTTTTAGAGCAAGAATGATTATATCAGTATTGTTGAATAGAACACCAGTTGCAGCAAGATTGTCCCTTGCATCTTTGATTTTCTGTAGATAGACAGATATTGAATCAAATCATTTTTTAATGTTCTGAAACTCTGTCTTCATTTGAAAGATTGTTGCCTTTGTAACTGTAGAGAATCGTTCTTTGAGAGTTGTCCACATTGCATGAGAACTAGTACTTCAAAAAATGCAAGAAATCTCAGTAGATAACAATGTGGCTATGAGAAGCTGCATAAGAGCACGATCGTGCATTTTCCAAACTTGATAGGCATCTATTTCAATTCCTTCAAGATTTGCCTCATCAAGAAACCTTGGGGGACATTCCTTGGACCCATCAACAAAACCAAGAATGCCATGACTTTCGAGCAGAAGATTGATCTGAAAACTCCATACAAGGTAGTTTGAATCATCCAATTTCACTGTAACAGAAGATGACACAGTAGAGATGAGACTTGTAATGGGTGATTGCCAAATTTGCAATTGAGCCGCGGTAACCATTGTTGTAACAGCAAGAAATTTCTTCACTTCGGACTTTTATCGAACAGTTGATGTGCAACTATTTGTGAGTCGAATATCTTGAGAACTGGGATGTTGATGAACCCAAAAATCACACAGAATTAGCAAATCAGAGGGTTAAGAGAAGAAATATCAGATCGTATGCGGAAGCTTTGGATCCACCTATGGCGAGGATACCATGTTAAGACTGCAGAAACCTTGAAGAAGAAAGATTCAGAATGCAGAAAGAAGGAAGAAGAAAGAGAGAGAATTAAGCTGAGAGAGAGAGAGAGAGAGAAAAAAAAACTATTCGTTGTATTTCTTGAATGTTAAGCAACAGTTTACAATAATCTGTTATACTTGGTTACAAAGCTTTCTCACTAAGCTAAAGACTAATTACCTTATAACAACCTATGTAATCTCTTGACAAGTGTTACTAATTTTTTCCATGAATTCATCTTTCACTTGGATACTGGTTTTCTTCACTTCACTACTCTTACAGGAGCCATGCATATGTCCCCCACTATTTTTGCACCCATATATATTATATAATATATAATTTGTTCAACAATAAACAAATAGAAGATAACCCAGTAAGAAAAAGAATACTGGATTGTTTCTCTCTCATAAGTCCATAGGTAATACTACTGGTCCCCAAATAAATGTGATCATTCAATTACTTGAATTGAAGTGTTAACAATTAAATTCATATAAGACATTTAACATATATTATAATACGATTTTATATTGAATTGGCTTTCCAAAAAATATTAGTGTCTTAAAACATCATGTTAAGAAGAACCGTATTTAAAATTTCTGTACAGAACTTTTAAATTCTCAGAGACAGTTCTGATGTTTAACACATATACATCACTTGTTCACTGGAAAATTTTTTAATAGGCAATTTTAAAAGGATATAAAATAAGGAAAACTAATGAAAAGAGTTTGAAAATTTTGAGTTTTAACAATAAGCACAAAATAAAGGGTAAAGTGAATAGTACCAAGATTGACTTTTTAGTGTAAAAATTTAATTTTTCATTAAAATGAACAGTACCAGGAGCTTTTCGTTAAAGTTCCCTATAAAATATCCATCTTAACATGAAAATGTAAATATTTATATAAAATTACATCTTTTATCACATCTCCAGGATAGAGAAAAATACAATATTAGCTCTGACTTCAAGAAGAGGTGTCCAAATTCAAATTTACATCTCCTAATTGGAGTAAAAAACCACATTTACATGATTAAATCTTCCTAAAATATAAATGAGATACAATTTTACATTTTAAATTTGCAGCTCGCCATTGGAGACGCTTTTAAAAAGGTGGTCAGTGATGTGAGTAAAATATGATTGGGTTTATATTACAAATGGTCTCTAAAATTGACGCATACCATCAAAATGATTCCTAAATTTGACAATCAATTAATGTAGTCCTTGAAAATAAGCATTGCAAATCAGTGTAGTCCTTTCGTAACAATTCTATCAAAAATTCTATTATGTACTGATATGACACATAAATGGGTCTCGCAAGTCTTTTTTTTTTTATCACAATGGTCACTGAAATTGAAAATTGATCAACATAGTCCTAATATGATTTAAATAGAATGACCATATTAATTTGTGACACCTATTTCAGGGACTACGTTGATCAATTTTCAATTTCAAGGACCCTCTTGATCGCATGGATTAATTTCAAAGACCATTTGTGATAAAAATTCTTACATCTTGTGGGTCCCATTTATGTGTCACATCAACATGTAATAGAATTTTTGACATAATTGTGACAAGAATTATATTAATTTGTGACACCTATTTTAGAGACTACATTCACCGATTTTCAATTTACAGAGACCATCTTAATGGTGTGATTCAATATCAGAGATAATTTATGATATAAACCCAATATTTGGATTTAAATGGCAGACTTCCAACCTGCGGTCGAATTAGAAAGCGGGAGAATGGAGCTGATGATTACTGAGTTATAGAGCATTCACTTGGCCTCCATAATTAGATTTGGACCACATTATGCAAAAACCAGCGGCTAGATTTCAGTCTCAAGCATGGGATGAATCTTGTCCATTGGAATTTAGAGAATTTGGACCTCTAAATTTAATCGTTTATCCGAAAGCCCGGATCACTCTCACTATAATTCAACTACTCCACTGTTCCAACTCGAGTGGCATATAATTATTATGAAAAACTAATATTAGATTCCAAGTCTAAATCATGTTGAAAAACAAAGGGGGACAAGTTGGTGCGTCTGTAGATTAACTTTAAAATGGAAATCATAATTTCAGCTGTTTTATCATATAACTCAAAATTACCGAAAAAACCATAGTTGCATGTTTTGATGAGTTAAGGAATTATTACTCCAATTAGATTAAAGTTAGGAGACAATTACCACCATATTCTCAGATATATAAGACTGAGATTGAGTTTATTCGGAATCGAGTTCACCCCGATGATGGTCCTAGCAAGAACACTACTTGTTAATAATGGGCAGCCCAAAGTTATTACATTAAGGAATGGTGATAGAATTACATTTTACTTTTTATTCCCAAGAAAATACAATTAAATATGAAAATGCTCAACCAATGGTTGGCACCAATACAAAGAAAACGAAAACTACAACATGTGACAGATGAAGAGAGGGAGGGAGAGGGATTAGACAAGTAAGCTAATATCCCATGACACTGAATGATAACATTACAAGGGTATATATATATATATATAAGACTACGATCTAACCATCAACGTACAGCCGAGTGAAAGGGAATTCTTCGCTTAAATGCCCGAATGCTATCAATCTCCTGACCGCTCTTGAACAAATACACCGAATCAGGAAATGCCAAGCTATACCGCTCGCAGTTTCGGCTGTGACCATCTCAAGGCAATTTATGTTTCCTGCATTATAAGAAAATTTACACATAAAAAAGTCTTAGACGTTTCTAGTGAACGAGTTTAGTAGAGTTGAATCATATATCGACGGAAATGGAGACGTTTGTGGATATTGCAGTTTTAAGAATGTATCAAACATGGTTTTGTAGACAGTAAGCACCTACATGAATTTTAATCAGGACCCTTCTGTTTGATCATCAAGGCCTTCGTTAAATTCACCAAAAATGTCTGGGCATTCATCCCATTTTCCCTGCTTCCGTGTTTCCCAATAGCCACCAACATAGCGGAAAGGTCCACCTTCACCTTCTCTCTCGAACCACCTGGGTTTCCACCCGTTTTCTTGTAGTTTCCTCGACTGTGCATTGAGAGTTTCAAGGATTATCACCAGCATTAATAGTAATAAAGAAATACTTCAGTTAAATCATATGCCATCTGCTTGTAAACATGTTTATTGGAAACTATAATACACTGGAAGTATTCCTAAAGATCTGTATATTTTTTAATTCATTAAATAATTTTCCGTATTTGCTCTTCAAATCTGTAAGGAACTCAATAATATATTGTGAAAGCGTAAGAGGAGTAAATGGGGCAAGAGCAAAGACATCCATTTTTTCTCATGTTGGAACTGGGTGAAGTTGCTGAAGTCACTTGCAATGCAAACCAATAACAAAACTGACCAAAGAGTCATAACTTATTATTTATCAGCAATATAAATTTTCCAACTGTCCAACATAAAAGTTGTTTCATTGACACAGTTGACTCTATTTTGGCAAGTGACTTGGTCTCTAGTATGGATTATTCATCATTTGGTATGATCATAGTATGAATTTTAACTTTGATCGCATGAAGTATAGGACTAATAAATATTCTGATTGGGAAGATCATAGAAAAACCATAATCCATGACCAAGGAAAACAATACGAATATCGGATTACCTTCTACACGTAAAACCTAGAATCAGTGAAAAGAAAATCAGCTGATGAGGCTGGCATGGATGTGTGTGTGTGTGTGTGTGTGTGTGTGTGTGTGTGTGTGTGACCAAAAGATACAGAAAGAAGCTAAAATTACCATTCTTTGCCTTTTTTCCAGCCGCTGTTTCTCTGCATTTGCCTTTTCGTACTCTCCATTCTCCAGATGCCGTTGGTCTGGCCTGAGCCTGGAATCAGTGGGTGGGAGCTTCTCCTTAATTCGTGATCAAATATCCAGGATCAGACAAAGCTATAAGAACCAATGAGAGATGCATAAGGGAAAAATGAGAATGCATATGAAACATTTGATGTATTACATCATGTCTACCTGCAGTCCAGGTGTTAGTTCATTCAGTGTCATTGCGAATGACGTTAAGTTGTATCGTGTGACATCAGGAGGTTTACTACTTTTCCACAACAACGAAGCATCTGAAGGATTTAACTTGCCACTCCCATCACCATTAACATAATGCATGCTTTCATCCCACTTCCCAAATAACGTAGCAACCTTTTGCCCCATGACATCTTCCACAAATCCATGGACCTATGTGGATGTAGAGTGTACAGTTGCAATTAATCCAGCAGCACAATATCAGACCAGTAAACAGCAATGATAATGATTCAACATTCTCTACTACAACATAGAACCATCGTACTGGACAGAAAAATAAATACGCCACTAACCTGGTGAGGATTTCGGTCAAGAATCGATTGCTCTTTGAACTTCAGTTTGCATGAATGCTGACAATTACCACGTATATGCATTGTACCATGGTGATCACAATACACTTTACCAAGAATTAGATTATATATGCTTGTTGTGACCTATTAGACAACGTAAAGATATTTAAGCACTTGTAGCATACATAAAAAAAACGTAACATAGAAATGCACACCTTGGTGGTTATATTACTCAAGAAAATGATTCTAACGATCTGTCAATTTAGAGTAAAAACACGACATAGTAATGCATACCTTGCTCCACTGGAAAATTTCACCATCATCAAACTGCAAGCTCAGAACTCCAACAGGGTCAAGCTGAATTGATCGCCCCCAAAATTTAGTGCGGATATTGCTGTCAGCCCAGAACTTCCACCCTCTACCTTCACAATGGCAGGCAATGAGTGTTGGATGGTGACTAACCTGTATCAAGTAAAATTTTATTTAAATATTTTGGATTGAGTAGGATAAATTTAGGAAAAAAGTAAACATTTATATAAAACCACTGTAAGAATATCAAGATAATAAATAGCCTTCCCATGCAAATATCACCCTTATTTTCACTTATCACACCCGTGCTCGTTTATTTTACTTCCCTTACCTTTTCGGAGAAGAAGCGAATTCCTTTATCAGGATAGTCAGCTTCATAAGTTTCCCCTAACAAGGGATTGAATGGCTTGCAGTGCCGCCCTACAGATGATGCATATCCAGAAACCGCAAATGCAGCAACATTTAGAACCCTTTGGAGACTGTTTCCCTAATAAGATAAAGGACCAAAAACGAACAATGTGAGATATTTCAAAAAAGTTATAATCTTGGAGGCACTAAAAAATATTCTAGTGCACATTCCAGGCAAATAAAAACTTGATTTACTATTCTAATGCAAGAAATTGACCGATGGTCTATTCTTCCTGCAATCCTTCTAAGACTTACTAAACATATAAGTATGGGCAGTCATCAATACAGACAATCTCTACCACAAACATGAAATTAGTACTGCAATGTATAATGAGGAAAAAAGCCCACACTCCCCAACCTTACCATTTTCCCATACTCATATGCACGGTCCAAAAGATACGAGTACTCCAAATCCTCACAACACTTCTGAAGAGATGATATTGGCTCATTAAAGTACACAGGAAGGCATACTCGAGTGAGATCCTTTCCCACATTGTCTTTAATCATAGACCAAAGGCTGACCCCTTTCTCCTTCTCAACTGGAGTGGGAAGCTCTTTTCTTCTTTCAACGTGTGGGTATTTATAATCCTGAACTTCCTTCTCAGTTTGTGTCTCCTCACCTTTATTAGATTGACTTTGAGTGTCACTTTGCTTATTACTGTTAGTTACCACTCCTTTCATAGACCCACAACTTATGATGGGTTCAGTGAAATACTCTTGTGTGTCATGAAATGGCATTTCGTCTTCATCTGACACTTCCTCATGCTCTTGTTTCTCAATATCGTCAGATGACTCAGTTGTGCTGCACTCTATAAGGCAAAACAGTATTAACACAATCATGAATGCTAAGAAGTGAAGATAAAACAATGCTCTGAGATTGCAGAAATTTTGAATAATTAGGCATTCAGAGAGTTCATTAGCAAAAGAAATTCTTTGAGACAAAGCGAGAACAGATAAAGATGTTTTTCCCAAGTCCTAAAAATAACAGCCACCTTGAGCCAAATGAAAACAAGAAGCTCAAACCTAACCATCCAAATTGGTAATCAGTCAACATTAATTACAGAATATAGCTCTATTGGTTCAAATAAAACTATCTGTGTACAGATAGATTATCAATTTACCATAATTTTTACATGCATCAATTAATGAGATCACTTGTAAACAATGTTACATCATGCACGGCAGGTTCTATTACAAACAGCTAGACTGTGACATGATTTCTGCAAACCGCTCTTTTTGCATGCGCACACACATATACTTATGCACAATGTGTACATCCTCAGCGCAACTCTCATATTGAAAAGAGGTTTGCAAAACTTCTATTAAAGGATGGATCTTCAATGGATTAGCTTAAAACAAAAAGGATTGCGTAGGTCATGTCTAACATGTAGTCACGAGTCAAACTCTAACATCTCATGAAGTGCTTTACTATAGGTCTGAAGAGATCAATTGTATACTCAAGAATAACAACTTTGTTTGTTCATTATACAAGGAAGGTGTATCGTATTCAAAAGTAGAAAATGAAAGAATGTATTAAAAAGTGGATAGGTAGCATAAGTTGGTTACCACTATATTTTCCCTGTCCCAAACTAGAAAACTCATGCTTCGTCAATTGGTATTCCCCATCATGAATTCCAGAGGCTTCAGCTTCATAATTGGCTGCCTGCATACGAAAAAGTATCAGGCATAATGATATTGCAAAAGCGGTATGCTTATCTATACTATTTATTAATAGAACACTCATTGTCAACCAAATACGCAGGGATAGATGATTTTAACCCTACACAGATAACTTACTTCAATTTAAGTATGTTATTACCATGGATAAATTTATCCAACAAAAGCAATAAATGAAAATAAAACAAAATATAAAAACCCCACTTTCTCACACTCTCATCAGCTTCTCTACTGAACTCATATCTCTCCTGCAACTGCTAATCACTTCTCTCACATTCTCCTCAAGTTCAACCGCTTTTTGATTCAAACCACCCAAAAATATGTCAATCCGAAAAAGCAATTAAAATTAAAAAAGAAAGGTGAGGATAAATAGATCGTTGGTTCTCTCTTCTCGCTCTCAGTCAAAAACTTCCCTCGCGTTCAAATCTGTAAATTTTGCAATAAACTTTGCAGATTCTCAAGCATTTATGTTTATCAACTTAGCTAAGTATTTAACTTTATTGCAAGACGGATATATCAATAAATGGCTACATATGTACTTTAGAGTATGTTTGCATATTTTCATGTACGGACACAATTTTGAACTCCGAATCAATAATTTTCCCTGTGCTACCTTCAATTCTTCTAAAAGGAACAACCAGCAATCCTACCTTAGGTCTTTGACATTCCCTTTCAAAACTGAGGTTTTGTATGTTTTTGCTTAAAAGGAACAACCAGCAATCATCTACATACACAATTAGTATTTTTTTTTAGTTCAGTCACTTTTTTAAATTCAATGCTTTACCATTCAATAGGTACATGATTTTTGCTTCATTTTTGTGTTTTTGAATTTTGGAGTTGTTTATACCATATTTAGAGCCTCCGTATTTAGACCTCGTATAAATAATCGGGGGACTTAAATGTAATTATGTGATAAAGGAAGGGGCAAATATGGAATTAGGGGAGGAGCCCTTATTCTATAAAAGGGCCTCCTCACCCTCACAAACCCTAAGCCTCTCCTATCGAGAGCAAAGCTCTCACACTCTCTCCCTCACTTCTCAAAGAAATACAATACAATCAGTGTGGACGTATCCCAAACCTTGGGGTGAACCACGATACATCTTGTGCTATTTACATTTCTTGTAGATTCACGGTCGGATTTACGTTGTTCCAAGACCTCCGGTTTTGTGCATCAACAGGAGTGTATTTGGATATGGAATAAGTTGAGCGTTTAGTTATATTTTAAGTTATAGACCACAATTTTAAAACGCTTTCAAACTCCAATATGGACCAAAATTGTGTTTCACGACAAAAAATATAATCAAATTTAGTTGCACACACCTCACGTGTGTGCCAGTTGCAAATAACTTAAAGATGAGAGGGTAAGACAATAATGAACCATAACAAACCGTTTTAATACTTTGACATATATCGGACTGGCACACCAAACACCAGAAAGAATAAAACTATATCTATGAATGGAAACATACTGTAATGCTCAACAAATTATTCAAAGGAGAAATGACTACCACAAAACATCCAATGGCTCAAAGGAAGGTATAGAAATGGTAATGATTAAAGGCTATAAGCCCACAGACCACGTTAATTGGGAGCAGTTCATATAAAACATACTCCAGTAAATTTGGAATGAATCTTGCTTGCATGTACTTGAGATTGTTTACGAATTAAAAGTGGTTATAAACTCGGTAAGCATATCCAAGTGTGCTAATTTAATCCTTATAAACGAATATTCCTGGTACTCTAGAGTATCTTATATTAGGAGGTTTGTAACCGTTATGATCCCGCAGTATAGAATACCTTGGAGCATATTAGAAAATCCCACTTATAAATCCACATATTAATGTGAAATATAGTAACCCTCTCCTGCCAAATTGTTGATTAAGACTATACATTCAGACACGATCTGCTTGCAAGAGACCATTACATATATATGCACTCAAAAGATGTGTAATTGATCTACCAAGACAAGCTTTGCTGCTGATTGGTGGGTCCCACACAGGGTCCAATTCAATCAACAGTTAGCCAACTGATGCTATATTTCTTCCTACCAGCAGTTGGGGACATGGAAATTATCAATTTTTGGACTGCTAGACACAATAAATGAGTGCATCCATGACAAGCACCTGTTCTATGAGAGATATTTGCGAATGAAATTCCACTGACCATAAAAGTAAAGTAAAGTACACTGTTTTAATTAGTTGAGATATAGATGTCCCAATATATCAGTAAAAGTAACTACAAAGTTCAAAACTGAACTCAAGATAGTGAGTACAAAGATAATTAATGAATGCAGTCCTAAAACAAAATTCTATCTTCATTTTTGTGTTTTTGACCAAAATTCTATCTTCATTTAGAAGATCCAGAGTATCCAATACTCCGAAGCACCCTAGAACATACCACACTAAAATATTAGATCAAAGATTTGGATCATTAGTTTCCGGATGGGACAAATTCGAACCAAACTAAGTTCCAACATCCAACCAGGAAGAAGATTTTTCATTACTTCAATTGTAGTTAGAGCTGTGTGAAAGTACGATTTGAAAAGATACATGGCTGACTAAAATTTAATTGTGACAAACATATCCCTTCAAGATATCATGTGGAAGTGCAAGCCTTCAATTAACATTCGAAAAGTGTGACAAATACTAAGTAGTAGTTACCTCGAATTGCCTTAATGTGTCCAGTAAATTTGATCGTTCTTCACATAGAACCTTCAGCTGTCCATGTAATTGAGAGAATTCCGAGAGCATTATCCGCTCGCAATCCTGTACAACACCCTCACCGGTTCCTTCTTCAAGCAGGCGCTTTTTCAGTCCTTCGGTTGATACAGATAAATCAGTTGGTACAAGAGAGAGGTTATCATTCAAGGATCTATGAGGAAAAAGACTCCGAGTTGAGACCAAAGCTTGTAGCCAAGCCGCCCGCTCGCTCTTTGAATTAGTCCTTAAATGAAGGGTCTTCGTAGCAGTAAATATGTAAAACTTCCGATCGTCAGACTTGCTTTCTCTGAAGGATGAGATCTGCAAAACAAATTAGAACAAATCATCTCAGATTACACATAAAATACAAAGTACTACCACTTAGTGTTCAACAAAAATACAAATATATAGTCGCTTTGGAAAACCAACAATAGAAAAAAGCAATTGCCTTGTAAATCAAAAGGAAAATGAAAATCATCAATGCAGAAAACACCTTCAATCTGCAGACAACAACAAAGTGTCGAAAGCGAGATCATTCGATGTCCTTCCAAAAAACCGACCAGAAATTCTACCCAAAACCGGAAAACCCGCCTCGGTTCTAAGCTATCACTGTACAGAAAAATCATGAGGACAGAATTTAAGCATTTCCACCAATAACACTAAAACCTAGGTTTTGAAAGGGACCAAGAGGATGCTTTAAAAATTAAAACAAATCCACCTAATGGTCTCAAGTCTTCCCACAATGTAATCAAACCCATCGTTCAAACCGCTACTCTAGCATTAAATGATAAAAACTCAACTTGTAAACTAACCCCACACCAAGTCAAAAGCAAACAAAAATACCCAGAAAAACTCACAGAATCCTTCCCACTTCCATTTTTCGGATCAAACACCGTCCCCACCGTCCGATCACTGCCTTCTTTCCATGCCTTTTCCTTAAAAAAAAAATATTAATATAAAACCCCAAGTCACCTCCAAAAGTAGAGAAAAACCCAAACTTTACTTTTTTCTCCATTTTTGGGTGCTTCAAGTTACACCACGATGGGACGTGAGAAATTAAAATTTGGAGAAAGGGTTAAAAATTTAGCTTGAATCCAACGAATAAAAACTAGGGGTGATATGATCACAGGGTAATACCTAGGCCTGCAACGTACCCTATGACCCCCCCCCCCCCATATCCACCTGGTGATGTGACCCACTCACACTAACATCCAGTTAACTGTTATGAAATTGAAATTCACAAAACCCAGGACACGACGAACAATGCGGTGAACCGCCGGTCCACACCCGGTTCCCGCTCAGATATCGGTCAATGCTTCTTGCAGATTCAGAATCGAACCAAATTAAATAAAATTTAAAAAAAATATAATTAATCGGAACGACCTGAGAATTGACAGAATAGAGAAAAGGTAACATTTTTGGTAAATTTTTTAATCAAGTTCCTGTCCATATTAGAGAGCGGTACTGAAATAGCGCCAAAATTGTTTCGGCGTCCGCGGTTGCAGCATTGCTGCTCTGCAACCGACCGCAGAGGAGAAAAAACAACAAGGGCAACGGTGTCGTTTTTGGTACATACATTTACCTTGAGGTAGACGATTCCAACGTTTTTCGGGGGCTTGTTGCTCCGCCTTCCGGTCCCGCTGTCCATCTGGGAAAGTCGGTGAGTGGAGATCTCGCCAATGAGTCGAACGTCGTCGTTTGGGGTCAACAGGCTCAGCGTTTCGGGTCGTCGTATCTTGGCGTAGGAGAGGACGCCGTTGCGGAGGAGGAACCACCTGGATCTCCACCCCTTGCTGTAATTCGTCCACTTGTGGAGGACTCCGGCGACGGTGGCCTCAGATCCCGATGCCCCGATGGCGGCATTTGCGTCAGATCCGACCTGCGCCGCGGCCAGACTCGCTGGAAGGCTCCGGGTCCGCGAGAGAGGCATGTCCGGCGACTGGTCGCCGAGACCCGCGCTCTCGAGCGTGATGCAGCAGAGCGGGTGCATCTCTTTGACCCGCATTTTCGCGAACTCAAACGAAACGACGTCGCGTTGCAAGTAATTCGGAAAAGAGACGATTGGAAGCGATAATCGAGCTAATTCCCCATTTTTACGTGTTGAAGAAGTACCTGCAACGAAAAGAGACTGACTGATAAGAACAATGAATATATTTATACACACATATACATACACATATATAAATAATTATATCTATAGGTGTCGGGTACCATCAATCAAAATCAAAATTAAATATGACCAGGGAAAATGCAGGCATGCATATGTCGATCATCGTCGTTTTCAAACACTCAAAATTAAATTAGGATTCTGAGACTCAGAGTAGGAGAGAGAGAGCTGTTGTTTCTTTCTCCCTCTAGACTCTATATCTCTGGGTTAGAGACCAACCTGGGGAGACTGGGGAACTCTGAAACTGAGAGAGCTTCGGGGAGAGAGAGAGTATATGAGGAAGTTGGGGATTATTAAAATCACTTAGACCGATATGTTATTTTAACAAGTGTTTATCGAATTATCCGATAACGATCTAATTAATTATTTTGTTAACTTAAAAATTTTTTAATTTTATATTATTTTGTGTCGGATTAACGGTCGTGTCAAAAATTGTAAGACTTACATCTAGAGAGCTTTTTTTTTTTTTCTAATATATTTTTTAATAGGAAAACTAATGAAAATGACTTGAAAACTTTGAGTTTTAATGATAAGGACAAAATAAAGGGTAAAGTGAATAGTACCAGGATTGACTTTTTAGTGTAAAAATATGATTTTTCGTTAAAGTGAACAGTACGGAGAGCTTTTCGTTAAAATTCACTTTTTTAATTTGTGACTTTAAAAAAATATATATATGTATATGATATGTATTGGTTTGGCTTGGATTGAAGGCAAAGTATTTTACATAGAAAATGTGAGCGAGGGGTTAGTTGTCGACGTTTGGTGGGTATACGTACACGATGAGAGAAGAGAAGTGCGTGTGAGACTGAAGAGAGTCTCTGAGTCTTGGGGGTGCAGGTAGTAATTAAGGGGTAGCAGAATGGTAATTTATTGCATCGGGAAATCAGATTACCATTCTAGCTGGATACGACTTCACCCTTTCTTCATCTGCGCTTAAATATTTGATGGGAAGACGAGAGAGGGGAGTTCTTCTCGCGATATGAGTGAATATACCGGTATCTCACCGTGTACGACAATAAAATTTTAATTAATTTTTTTTTTAAAATACATCTAACAAATTTAATTTATAACAAAAAAAATATATCTGTTAAAAAAAGAGAAAATTTGACTTTGTCATGTCAACTATCTAATTAACATTTCACATTTATCTTTTGACATCTTTATTGGAGATGCTCTTGTATGTTACGTGTGAGTATCTTTCTATATGAAATTATATCTTTGGCAAGAAATATCGTAGAAATTGTGTATCCGTTTTATAAAAATTTATTCTCTAAAGTTAAATTTCAAATTTATTATAATTATATATTATCTTGAGTATTTATGTGAGTCGAACTTAAACTTTTTTTTTTATAACTAAGTAGAGACAAAAACAATTAAACCAAGGGAAATTTTATTTAAACTCATCTAACTTACTCTTTGCATCCATTTGATTTTTAACTAAACTATTAATATATTTTTAAACTCATATTTAATACCTAATATACCCCCATAAACCCAATTCAATATGTGGATTTATTTTTACACCCATTTCTTCAACAATTGCTTCATAAGTTAATATCTAAATAAGCTTGATCCTAAAGATGGGCGTTCAGTGGACCCATCATTCATGTGATTCTGTGGTGATGAGCAGTGAAATTAACTTATCGATCACAAAACATACAACTGATTCTACCATTTTTGTATCCGGTCTTTTCTGGTTGGCGTATTACATGCACAAAATATCTTCTTTACATGAAACTATGAACATTTTAGAATTCTGTGTGCAATATTTCTGGTTAGGTTGCAGACAACTTTCTGGATTGCAAGGAGAACGAAAATATGAAAGTGATTTGATAAGGTAGCGGTTGGCTCATCGATTGACTTTGGTAATCCATTTTCAATAATTTAAGGAGTGCTGCTATATATGTGACAGCCCGTCCCTAATTTTAAGAATTTTTAAAGTTTTAATAAAGGATTTTACAAAAATGCCCTTCGAGGCACGCACATCATTCGAGGTTAATCGTTGTGTCGTGCCATCTAAGATTTGTTTTCTTGACATATCCTCGTAGTACTCGTCGTTACGGACGTGTGGGCGCAGACGGTTCGTGATTTGGAGTTATATCGAAGAAGTTATTAACGTTTGAAATTTGGAATTTTAAGGAATTGTAATTTTAGTAAAATATAGAAATTCTTTTATGAAATTGGATGGCCCAGATTAAAGGATTTTGAAATGGATGGCTGGGATGAGAAAAATGAAAGTTTTGTGTGGGTGTGTGCGTGGGAAGAACCAGAAAACAGAGAAGAAGAAGAGAGATTGGGCAAAAACTGCCCAATCGGAGAAGAAGGAGAGAGAGCGAATCAGAGGCAGAGAGAGGAAGAAACTGACCAATCGGAACAGGGAAAGGAGGAAGGGAGAGAGGGTGAGAAGCGGAGGAAAAGAGGAAGTGGGTTGGGGAGAACCCGTGGGTCGTTTCGACCCGGCGGTGCCCACGCCCAAATTCGATGGATTTCGTCCAAATTTCCGACGAATTGAGTCAAGGTACCACTCCTAATCATCATCTAGGCCTTCCCTCTTTACGTTTCACCCCAAGAATCATTGAATTTCGTTGTGATTTCGCGAAGAACACCCCTACGGGTGCCGCGACCCTTTTGTTTAAATTCTCCAAATTTTGAAAGGTTTTCTTTCAATTACTAACACCTTTAGCATTCCTTTAGGACCTAGAACAAAGCCCAAGAGGTAATTGAGGCGTTGGAACAAGTTTGAAGGTTGAATTGGAAACACCCAAATTCTAGGGTTCTTCACGGTTTTGGTGAAATTGAAGCACTTCCAGGCCAAATTGGCCTTGGTCTCAGGTATGAAAGTTGTTCTACTCATTGAGATCTTCAAATCTGCAAATTTTGGTAATTTTTGGAAATAGTTGAATTTTCCGGCGAGCCGGGGGCGGCCAACCGCCACCCGCGGCGGCCCGCGCGGCGGCGCGTGGCCAATGGCCGCCAATGTCATTATTAGCTTGTGATTAAGGTTCTAGGTTCTGTTTTTGATAATTGATGGACGTAAATTGAATAATTGAACCTAAGTTGGTTACGATTCGGGGTTAGGTGAAAATGTGAATTGACGATCCGACCGTTGGATCGTCATCAAACTTTGATACATTGTAATACGTAATATTTGATGATTATAGGAACTTACGGATTGGGAATCCGATTTACGGATATTCCGGAATTGGAATTGTAAGTTCATAAAATAGAATGTTAACCGTCACTTAGTTTTGGAAATTGACGGAGATCCGACCGTTGGATGGTAACGAAATTTTAGGATGTTGTCCTAGAGGTATATTGTGGACCTCTGGAAGTTTCGGATTTGAAATCTGAATTGCAGATCATCCGGATCGAACTACGTAGTGACGTGTCTTATATAAGTTATGTATTCTATCGGCAGGATTTCTGAGGTTGGGTTTGATTATTGTTCTAGGCGCTAATCTTCATGACGCCTTGATGTGTGGTGCTAGGGAGTTGTTGAGCGAACTCCAGGTGAGTGGGCAGTTTTGTTTTCGTATTACCTTTATACTATAAAATTTTTCCCAGAAGATGAATTTATACGAAATTATGTTTTTTGAAAATGCCATGCATAGAATTATTTGGAAAATGTGAATTTCATATGAGTTATATGATTGATATATGATGCATACATGTTGCATGGTGCTGTGGAGGCACAGGTAAGTCAGGTGAGTTCATTATTCATTTAATTGATTGTTGATAAGATGTTTCAAGCTCATAACATGCACCCTAGGTGTTAGTGCTTATTTTATTCACCACACCGCACGCTCGCCTTGGATCCAAGTAGGTGGATGTCGTACAGACCATGTGAGGGTTCCGACATGCTAGTCGTATAGATCACTAGGCGTGATTCCGACTAGTGGGTGATCTTAGTTATGCGCGCTGATGATTGATGAGAGAAGCACTAGAGCGTATTTTTACACCTTTCATCGTACAGACTACCTTACGTAGTTCCGAGTGATGTGCAGAGTAGGGCCGTATAGGTCACTGTGGTGACTCCGGCTTAGTGAGATATTGAGCTATTGAATTAATCGTATAGGACCAACTGCAGGGTCTCCGATTGATTCCTTATTTCACCTGATTTATATTTTGATTTATGGCATGGCATGTTTTCTTGAAAAATGTTAAAGATTTGGGATTCAAGTTTTGAGATTTCATATGGTTATATATATATATTTTTCTGAAAAGTGTTAAAGGTTTGAGATTTGAGATTTTTGCTTATATATATGTTTATATATATACTATTTTCTGGGAAAGTATACAGGTTTTACGGTGAGGGGTTATAAATGTTTTAAATGAAAAGTCTTCGAAAAACTTTGTTTTACTGACCCACTCAATTTTGTTTTGCGCCCCTCCAGGTTCAAGTTAGCAGAGCTTTGGTGGCCACGAGGAATCCAACGGTGTTCTGACAGAATTCACAAAAGTATGACTCACCCTCGGGTGTCTCATCTTAGTAATTGTAATTTTTCTTAAAACTTCCGAACTGTGTAAATGGTTACGTCACTCTCACGTGACGGCCAGCACGCCCTCCTTCGGGATGGGGTGTGTCAATATATATACCGTAGACTTGGGGTGATATATGAGCGGATGAATTTGCTCTTATCGGTACGGTGAGAAAGGAAAACTCGAATTAGAGAGGTGGTTAACAATGCGATCGGAGAGAAAAAAAATTCATAAATTGAGTTATATCTTGGTTGGAGAATTCAAAACTTCAAAATCATAATCCATCAATAAAAAACTTATTTTTCTCTATGAGAGTTATTAGGGTTTTAGCCAAGATGAACGTAGGATAAACAAATAGTGATCGTAGGGTTTAATTATAGTGTTCGGGTTTATTAATAAATTTGAGTTTTATTATTAATTTCATTTTGTACTCAATAGTAATTATGCAATAGGGTAAAATAAACAATTAACATTTAAAATTTAAGTTAAATGTAAAAAGAGGTTAAATGGGTTTAAATAAAATTTCCCTTAACCCAATTTACTTTTGGTTAATCTGTTTAAACAGTTTCTTAACATTTTCGGTGGACCAGTTTAGGTGTTTTCCTCCAAATGTCATATTTGTGATTTACAATTCATTTTATATCAAAGCAAAAAAATATTTCATATTAGAATTGTAGGGGGTGCCTTCATTAGATTGTGGAGTGGAAATAGAACCATCCTAATTGTCAACATGGCAGTTTATTAATTACCGTTCAACAAATCTTGTTTGCTAAATTTAGGATTTTATGTAATAATTATTTTTATTTTTAAATTTTAGCTTTTATTTTTGTTCGAGAAAAAGATGGAAATTAATTGAAGAATTTAA